TTTGTGGAAAGAAGATTTGAGTGGAAAGCAACTTGGGGAAGGCTAGAGATCAAGATTCATATGGTAGGAATGGAATACCTTGGTCTCAACACATGAGTAGGTGGTTCTCTCTCAGAACATATGAGTTGGAATTGTGTATGTGTTCTGATGGCTCTCTCCATGAATGAAGAGGAGGTGGAGGGGTATATATAGCCTCCACACAAAATCCAACCGTTACACACAGTTTTCCAATCTCGGTGGGACCGAATCAACAAACTCGGTCGGACCGAAAGGGTAAACCTAGTGACCGTTAGAGATTTTCGGTGGGACTGACATGCAACTCGGTAGGACCGATATGGTTAGGGTTTGGACATAACGTAATCTCGGTGAGACCGATTACACAAACTCGATGAGACCGAGTTTGGTAATAAGCTAACCAGAGAGTTGGTCAGGTAAACTCGGTGGGACCGATTTGCTCTTTCGGTGAGACCGAAAAGTTACAAAAAGGAAACAAAGAGTTTACACTGCAATCTCGGTGGGACCGATTCGCTCTTTCGGTGAGACCGAAAAGTTACGAAAGGGAAACAGAGAGTTTGCAATCCCATCTCGGTGAGACCGAGATCCCTATCAGTAGAACCGAATTGCTAGGGTTTGGCAGTGGCTTATGACAAGTGAAACTCGGTGGCGCCGGATAGGAATAATCGATAGGTCCGAGTTTGGCTTTGGGTTTAGGTCATATGTGGAAGTGGGAAAGTAGCTGAGGATTTTGGAGCATATCATTAAGCACATAAAGCAAGAGGCTCATTAAGCAACACCTCATCCCTCCTTGATAGTATTGGCTTTTCCTATGGACTCAATGTGATCTTGGATCACTAAAATGTAAAATGAAGAGTCTTGAGCTTGAAGATTTAGCCAATCCTTTGTCCTTAGCATCTTGAAGGAGTTCCCACAACCTTTAGTCCATGCCACTCCATTGTTGAACTTATCTAAAACATGCTAGATAGAAATGTTAGTCCAACAAGAGATATGTTGTCATCAATTATCAAAACCACCTAGGGAGCACTTGTGCTTTCACAGGACCTAGCTGAATCTGTATAAGCTATAGGGTGAGTATAAATTTTACTCCACCACTTATCCGACGAAAAGATACTCCACCCTTTGGTCTCGAAGTAAAACTCCCCACACCTCCTTTGGTCGGTCCGGTTACACAACGCCGATGCCCGCCCGAACTTTGTGTGACGTGAGATGTCTCTGGTCGATCCGCCGCCGCCCGCCGCCAGGGGTGGTGAGTGCGGCGGCGACAACGACTTGGGAGGACCGAGAGGCCACCAACGAGTCGTACATGGACGACCTCCGCTGCCAGTACCTGAGCTAGTGGAGGCGGAGCACAAGTTGTACGAGGAGCGAGCGGCTGGCGGGGCAAACAACATCGTCCCCTCAAGCAAAGAGGAGGACTATTGTGGTGGCAACGACGGTGGTAGAGGAGCCGGAAACGACGGTGGTAGAGGAGGCGACAACGACGACGGCTTCGACATCTAAGAGTGGCGAAGAACCTTCCCGGACTGCGATGACGATAGCACAGGGCTTGATCTCATGGGTGGTGGCATCTCCATGGTGGATTGGCTGTTTCTCGCAAAGTCAGATAGATTTAAGTTTTAGTTTATGTATAAATTCAAGTTTTAGTATCGGTTTAAACTAGACTATGTTTCAGCGGATGGTAATGTAAATTACGTGTCGAATTTCGGTTTAGAAGTTTGTTTAAATCGAATCTATGTTTATCTGATCCAAATTTGATTTTTACACCGCTAAATTTCAGGGATGCTTGAACCGACCAAAACTTAGTAGAGTAAATACACTCCATTAAGATTTACCCAGCCGGATACTCCTCTATTTTTAAGGGATTAGCTAGAGTTGCTCTTGCTTCACAAAAACAGCGGTGGGGAGAAGCAGGCTAGACCCTTCCCCAAGCTTCTCACGTTTGCACACGGGTGGCCGCAAGAACGGTTCGCGCAGATCACTTTTCGAAACGGAGACAAAAACTTAGATCATCAATGTTGCAGGTGTGGCATGGATGAAGCTGATATTCATTTGTTCTTCTCTTGTCACTTCGTGCTTGCATGTGTGCTTTGCTTCTCCGTTTAGGACTACGTGTTCAAAGGCTCATTTAGCAAGGAATAGAGGAAATGGAAGGTGCAATTAATCATTTTTTTAGTGAAAGGAACCTCAATTAATCACATGATGAACATCTACAGAGCTGAGTACTCTGTAGCCATAACCTTCAATATTCTCTGCTCTATGTGGAAGGCATGAAATGGCCTTCTTTTCAACAGTAAACAATGTACTCCCTTGCAGGTTCTATATGCAATGGTTGTTCTTAATGCTGACAACGTACACAAACATCGGATAGAAGAATAAAGTTGAGATACAAGACAAATAAATGTAACTAAGACTGCTATGATCATCTCTTCTTTGGCAAATGAAGGATTACTAAAGGGCCTAATAATTTATACATCTGCTTTGTTCTGTTCTTTTTGAAGTTGAAAGAGTAAAGCGATCCTTGGAGTTTTCATGCAGTGCCACAACGGTGACACCAAGCTTGCCTTCTTAGTAGGAGTTAATTGTTCATTGGTATCACGATTGGGACAGTCTCAACGGATTGGTACCACATTTCAAAAAATTTACAAGGCAATATCAAGTCTGGGACGTGCGGCTACAAATCGAACTAAACTCCATATAAACACGTATTGACGGGGAAACTAACCGGTGGGGCCTGCCTGCCAGGGGCCGACTTGGCGTGTTCTTTCGCAAAAAAAGTTACTTTATATGTAATCACGCAAATGCCCTTGTTTACGAAAAAAAAGGCTGACTTGTTTTTTCGTTTGCAAGTTTCTGTAAAACAACCTGTGTCCCCGCCAGGATTTGAACCTGCGACGCACAGCATGAGGACGCGCGAGCTTATATGGCTTTATAATCTAAACTTTAGACACGTCTGGGCCTTTTTTGACTCTTTCACCTTTTCTGTATGTGTTCTTTTTTTCGGATTTCTTTTATTTATTTTCATATTTTGGGTTTTTCTTTTTAATTTTTTGCATTTATCTTTATACAGGTTTTGTAACAAACGGTGTATGTATTTTCAATACTATGGACATATTTTTAATTTACACTGAATTTTTATTATGCGATATTTTTTGTAAATGCACACTGACCATTATTGTATAATATATTTCAAACAATTTTGTTATATACATTGAACATTTTTTAACATACAATGATCTTTTTTAATTATGTGATGAACATTTTTTAAATATACGGTGAAGTTTTTTAATATACATGGAACTTTTTGTATATATTATGCGATATTTTTCAAAAATACACACTGAACACTATTGCATAAATCCACACTGAACATTATTGTATAATATACGATGAAATGTTTTGTTATATATATTGTACATTTTTTACTTTACATTTTATTTTTTAATTATATAATTAATTTAAAAAAATTATGTAGTTTTTTAATATTTATTGAACATTTCTTATATTATGTGATATTTTTTGAAAATACACACTGAATATTACTGTAGAAATACACACCAAACATTATTGTATAATATACGATGAACCATTTTCTTATATACATTGATCATTTTTAATATACAATGATCTTTTTAATTGTATGATAAACATTTTTTAAATATACGATGAAGCTTATGAATATATATTGAACTTATTTTATATTATGTGATATTTTTGTAAATACACACTGAACATTATTGTATAAATACACACTGAACATATATTGCATAAATGTGCACTGAACATTACTGTATAATATATGATGAACATTTTTTATATACATTGAACATTTTTTAATATACAATGATCTTTTTATTTGTATGATAAACATTTTTTAGATATACGATGAAGTTTATGAATATATATTGAACTTATTTTATATTATGCGATATTTATGTAAGTACACACTGAACATTATTGTGTAAAAACACACTGAACATTATTGTATAAATGTACACTGAACATTACTGTATAGTATATGATGAACATTTTTGTTATGTACATTGAACATTTTTTTAATATACAATGATCTGAAAAAATATCGCATAATAAAAATTTCATTGTAAATTAAAAATATGTCGACAGTATTGAAAAAACACACACCATTTATTACAAAACCTATATTAAAAAAGAAAAATGCAAAAATTAAAGAAAGGAAGACCCTAAGAATACCCAAGATCTGAAAAATATAAAAGATATCCAAAACAAAGAAACACATACGAAGAAACAGAACAGTTGAAAAAGGCCACGGCGTGTCTAATGTGGGCTATAACAACACGAAAACCTCTACTTGGAGACATGCATTTTTGTAGCATATTGGTCGTGCCCTAAACTTCATACTAACTTGTAAATTGTTTTTAAAGTGGTACCAATTCGTTGAAACTGTCCTAATTGTGGTACCGGCGTGCAATTAACTCGCTTAATGGAGGCAACTTCTATGATGGCTACCAGCCCTCAGTATCCACAAGCAGGATCGACGCTCCATGGCCCAAAGCGAGAGGGCAGCTCGTCGACGTGCAATGCTATGATTTCCAGTGGTTTCCAAAGAAGATACGATTTCATGTTTAGTCAGCAATCACAATTGCTTCTCGGTGAGGTATGACTACTCTTATACTCTTGTTATTTTTTTATCTTCTTTGCAAGAGAGTTTTCTCATCATTTTGTATCAAATTCGGCGAAGTTTGATTGACTACTCCTATACTCTTGTTGTGGGGGCGAAAGCCTGTTTTGGGAAGGAAACAAGTCATGTGCAGGAGGCTCAGGAGCGTGGGCTGTACCGAGAAAAATCGCCCACAGGCCCATGCCCGCACGGCGAGGCGTATGGACCTTCCTTGAAATACTCCCCCGCCTTGGCTCCCGAACGTAACCGTCGCAACCAACAGCTTTCGCTTCTCGCCGGAGCTCCAAGAAACCGTCATCCCCACCTCCACCAGCGCCGTCGACAGATGGAGCAGTTCCAGGACAGCCACCACGTGAGGCTGCGGAGCCGCGAGCACGGCATGTACATGCACGCCGACAAGGACGGCCGTGGCGTCTCCCTCCGCCGGCCCCGGGCGTCGATGAACGCGGCGTGGGCGGTGCACCTGTACCAAGACGATGACGATGTCCAGTACGTGCTCCTCCACAGCGCCGCCTATGGCGGCTACCTGGCGGCCTTGGACGCACCGGCGCCGGTAGGCCACCGCGGGCGCCGCGTCGAGCAGCGCGACTACGAGGAATGGGAGGAGGAGGCCGTCAGGTGGCGGCCCGTCAGGCTCGTGCCCGGGGACTACATCCTGCTCCGCCACGCCAGCGGCCGCTTCCTCCGCGCCAACGGGAAGTACCTCCCCTGGAACAACAGCGCCAGCGTCGACGACTTCGACACCGTCAGCACGATGACGCACTGGGTCGTGGAGCGCATCCCCGCCAGGGAGGTGAGTCCGCTTCTTGATTCTTCCCGATTTTTCGCGAATTTGGGAGCAATTCATGGTTCTGTTCTTGGCATCTTGCAAAATTTGCGTTTCTTGGGAGCAGTTCTTGGGTTGCCATCTCTGTTTCTTGACGTCTTCCATCTCTGTTCGCAACTTCGCGTTTCTTGCAGCCTGACAACGAGACTCAACTGCAGCTCCCCCTCGCCGGAGGCCTCGACGTCCTGTTGCCGCGGCGGTGGATCGTGTACGCCTCGGCGGGCGCCGATGGGGGCCCCTTCTTCTGGGCTGCGTTGGGGTTCAAGGGGAGGTCTGTGTTCCGCCTGAGGAGCGAGCTGGCCAGCGAGATAGGCATCGGCATGGGCGACCTCGTCATGTGCCGATGTGCGTCCAGGCGGGCACTAACGGGCGGCCCGGCGGCCTACCCCACTCGTCGTCAACCTACCCCGTGGCACGCGGACCCTTTACATCGTCGTCCTCATGGCCGGGGAGCCAGCCCAGGTGAGAGGCCTACTCATCTCCATGTCCCAAAAACAGTTTACTGAAACTGCTGCTACTCTGGTTCAGTTAAGACTTGGGAGTTTGTCTGAACTGTTGTGTTTCATATAATTAGAAGTAGTTGAATGCTAGAAAGTGGCCTGAAGCTGATTAGTTGTTGGGAGAAAAAAATTATAAACACATATTCACACTCAGCCTTTATTTGGAAATTATTGGTTTAGATGAATCCAGTTCTTCAATTTAACCTACACGTCGTTAGTAGGAAACTTCAGAACTTGAAAACCCAAATCTGGTTCAGTCATCCTAGTTTAGCTTTACAGAGAAGACACTGATTTCAAATTGTTTTCAGTAAGGTGTGAACAAAATTCAGGATGTATCCCACAGCACTACTTGAAAGCTAGCTTCTTGCAATATATTGTTTTCAGGTTTTGTACATCAGCTGTACATATAGCAAAGTTCTGAGATTTTAGTCTTGAACTTGTTTTGCATGTTGGTGGATACTATTTTGTGGATGGCCATGCTTATGCTGTAAGTAGAAGTTAAATGGAAATAATGTTCAGATTTCTTCAGAGAAACACTAAATGTTTACAAAACGTGATCTGAAGCTAGTTGGTTATTGGTGAGAAAATCATTACATAAGGCAAATATTCACACTAAACCTTGATACAGAAATTATTGGTTTCATATGGTCCTTGATACATATAACTTAGTTTCCCATTTGGTACTATTTGCCGCTAGTAGAAACTTTGGAACTTATAAACCCTAATCGGTCAGATACGATTTCTGTTTGATTTAGCATATTGTAAATGTTTTGAACCAAATTCAGGTTGTATACTACAGTATTTCCTAAAAGCTAGTTTCTGCACATTATATTGTTGTTTTTCAGGTTTTGTGCATAAGCAGTCTTCTTCGTTAGCTCTGCAAAACAGTGATACTTAAGTTATTAATCTTTTCCAGTGGTTGTATTACCTGTGATACCCGGATGCCTGACTTCCTCACTTTCTCTTCTAATTCAGCCAACGTCGAGCTGCGCCAGATGTTGGTGCAGAGTAGAAAAGGATAAGAGCAGGACTCCCTACCGTCGCCCTGTCACTGTCATTCCACCTCTTCAGAAGTGTCGCTGCCTTGGACATGATGACATGAGAACTCAGAACTGCATTTTGCATTGAGATATAGGTTTAGGAAAACCCCAGCAGCTCTGGTGATTCTGCTAGCTGAAATTGATTCATTCTCCTGACAGGAGGAACCTGTCTGCTTTCTTTTAGGTGTCAGCAATGACGGGTGTAGTGGTTCTTGCAGTTAATTGAGCGCTCGACTTTAGCTGTGCGTTTTCAGGTTTGAATTTTGACAGAGTTCTGAACATGCATTTTACATTTGGTTTAGGCTGTTGTAAAAAAAATTGAATAACATATGAACAAAAGTGTATCCCACGACACCGTACGAATACTAGTTTCTGAAAATTACATTGTTCTCACGCCCTTTAGAGTCTCTCGCTACTCTTCTTGTAATTGACGGAGAAAATTACACATTTGGTCCTCGAATTTGCTGGCACCTAACACAACCATATTCCAGCACCCCTTATAGGAGTAATCTGTACCACTACATAATGTATCCGTTTTGAATGGACCTAAATCATCAATCTTGATCGTTGGTATCCTCAATCTAACTGTTGAGAGCGGTGGGATTCGCATGAACAGTATTTATCAGCTAGCTGTCCTCGATGTGTTATGGAACCATCACGTCGTCTTTACCAGAAAAAGGTAAAGGTGCATGCCTCTGAGGCAAGCAGAAGATGTGTTGGGTGGCTTGTAGATTGTTCTAGAAAGAGAATGAGAGAGAAGAAAACCGGTTATCTTTCTTTGTTTTTTTAACTTTTGTCACCAATCAATAGGAAGTACACTTTTCTAAAGTACACTTTTCTAATATTTCTTTTTTTACAACAATAATAATCCAATCCCGTCTACATTCAAATGTAGACCATATTGTTTTGCATTTCTTTTCGCGGTGTAGCCTAATGCTTTTCTCCTTATATATAGAAACAAACCTCACCAAAGGAACATTAACATCAAGGTAGACCCAAGCCCTCAAAATTTTCGAAGGATTGATTATTCCCTCGTTGACAATCACCGTTATGGGTGGCTCCCCTACCTTTCTCAAAACCTTCTATGCCAGTTCCTTCTTTCTCATGAGACCATCCAACACACCATGAATTCTTGCCAAGATCGGAATCTTATCCAGTTTATAATCCTCCACATTGCTAGAACCATCATACTCTTGCATCACTACAACTGCATCTCGAAACAACCATGGGCCTCCATCTATCACCCATTTCCAATCCGTCCGACAACTAAGCTGAAAAATGAATAAATTTGCTCCCATGCTCTTGAAGGTAATTTGTCGTGTAGACGCCTACACAGTGCACAACACGTTAAACATTGTAGCGCGACTAAACATTCTAGTTGTATGGACCATGAAGATTGTCGGCCACCTAACCTCATTGATCAGAGTCTCCAACTTTTCATAATCAAGGTCCATTTCTTCTTCACCATGCATATTGAGTCCTTCAAAACGGCCTTCCAGAGAAGGTTCCAATCCCAAATTGCGTTCCTCCTTATCTAGTTCCGACTGACCCCCATCGTCTTAGATCCATCTCCCTCCCTAGTCCACACTACTGACTGGTTGCACCCTGACATGTACTTCCTTCTCTAATTCCTCTACCCTCTACGCCAGTTCTCCATCTATCTTCCCTCCAAGTCTTTCCCAACAACCGCGGGTGGATCCGTCATGCAACCTTGCGCCTTAATTAAGGCCCCTACCTGACTAGACTCCTGTCCCCCCAATAGATCGCCGGTGGAACATGAGGAAATTTGTGGACTTCGGCATGATCGCTGAAGGATGGGTAAACCCTAGAAAACTAGCAAGAAACTATTTCGCTTTTTCTTACCTTAACTTTTTTTTTTGAGGCAAACATTCTTTATTACTCAGCCGTCACAGTTACAAGGACGAAGTTAAGTTCCCCAGGTAGCCCTAGCCAAACATGGCGGCCGGCCCCTAGAGCTAATGCATGTTTTTTAGCTTAACCTTTTTTTAGGGGGGCTTTTTAGCTCTTTTTTGAGGGGTGGCTTTTTTAGCTTAACTAAGAAACAGAGAAGTGTTCTCGGCCTCCCTTTTTTGGCACGGCCCACAAGCCCACGTAGTGCCGACACCTGAGCACGGCGACGGCGTCAGGCCAGCTTTGAAATACTCCGGCTTGGCGTCGAGCAGCGCAACTACTTTCACTCGGAGGTGGATCTAATGCTTTGGCAGGCCATCTACATGGAGAACCTCTTCCTCAACCACATGAAGGGCGGCAACCTCCGCGCGAACGGGAGGTACCGCCGCTGGAACAACGGCGTCAGCGTCGACCACATCGACGACATCAACAACATCAGCACGATGATGCACTGGGTCGTGGAGGTCATCCCCGCCAGGGAGATCATGCCTCGCCTTCCACGTCCGTCTCCGGTGAGTCCGCCATGTCTGCTTCTTGATTCTTCCCGAATTTGCGCGAATTGGGTTCTTGAATATCGTTAACATGCATCGGAATATGACCACAGAGATAGCAAATCGTGTTAATCTGGCTCCGTTCTTGCCAAATTTGCGCTTTCTTTGGCTTCCTCATCTGAAATTCGTATCTGTTCTTGGTTTCTTTGGCTTCTTTGATTTGATGATGGTTCTTTGCGACTCAACTGCAGCTTCCCAACCTCGTGATGCGGCCGCGGATGATCATGTACGTGTGGCCGAACATCCACGGGGTCCTCATCACCCACGGCACGTTCGTGTTCGGTGGGAGGTCCGTGTTCCGCCTGAGGAGCGAGCTGGCTAGGCGGCTGGGCGACCTCGCAATCATGGACTTGGAGGTCGCCGACCTCGTCATGTGCTTGCCCACGCATGATGGCCAGCTTATTCCACTGGTAGTCGATCTGCCCCGCAGCGGCGAGACCCTCCACATCGTCGTCGTCATCGTCGGGTCGCCTGGTGAGAGCCCCTCCATATCCTACTCTTCTTCACTTGTCCGGATATTATGGGTTTCATGTCAGTTGAGTGCTAATCTGAAAACAGTGTTCGAAACTAGTAGTCTGAAATACAGTTTGCTGAAACTTTTGCTGCTAATCTGTTTCAGTTAGTCTGAACTCTGAACTGCTGTAAGTTGCTCAATCAGATCAGTAGGTGTTCAACACGCACGACATTATGCTAGAAGGTTGTCTCAAGCTAGTTGTTTGTTGTCAAAAAATCATTATTTCATAAGTCAAAAAATCCACACTGAACTTTGATAAGCTGAAACTACTGGCTTTGATGTCACTGTTCTTTGATTCAGATGGTTTAGTTCTTCGATTGGAAAACTTCTGAACTTGAATCAGTTCGGCCTGCCTAGTTCAGCTTCACAGAAAAGATAATGATTTCTGTTTTTTTAGCCTACTGTAACTGTTTCGAGTAACGTGTGTACCAAATTCAGGTTCTATCCCACAACACATTACATTGTTTTGAGGTTTTGTACATCAGCTTTCTTTTCTAGTATCTTCTTATTTAAATTTGTTGTGGTACCTGTGACACCTGATGCCTAACTGCTTAACACTTTTTCTGCCAACTCAGCCTACATGGCGCTGCAGTACGCGGATATCGATGCATAGCAGAGAGATACCAGAGCCAGGACACCTAGAAGTCTCCTTCATGTCCACCTCGCCGGAAGTGTCACCACGGCATTAGAACTCAGTTCCTTTAGTTGAAATATAGGTTCATGAAAACCCAGCTTGGTTCGTTGAAATATGGGTTCAGGAAACTTGTATGCGTTAGCATCACCATTCTGTACTTCCGAAACTGTTTGAACAATGATGCGGTGACACTAGTCTGTAATAATGTGTTGACAATGGCCACTATTTCAACGTTGCTAGCTGCATTCTCTTAGCTGCAGTGAGTTGGGCACTTGAGTTATTCTGCTGAAAGTTTCAGTCCATCAGCAGAAGATGAATTGTGTGCTTTCACTAAGACCAGAGTTCTGAACATGGTGAGGTTAATGTGTCCGGACACGAGTTGCTGCATTTTGATGCGCCCGTGGCTTATTTGATTCAGCCTATGGCAGTGTTCTTGGCAGGCCCTTAGGTTTTTTTTCGAAAAGGAGGAATACCCCCGGCCTCTGCATCTGGTCGATGCATACGGCCACTTTATTAATTATTAGCACAAAACCTTACAAAGTCGTACAACAGTAAGACCAAAGCCACCATCTTCGCAACCTCTGTCGCTACTCCTATCTAACTGATGAAGGGGCGCTCATGGTCTGGGCCTAATACCAAACAGACCTCGCAGCCAAACCTAACATCTAAGACCTGAGGTCCCAACCTGGACGCCTGCCGGGTATGGGCACCCACCAGTCCGGCGTGCTCCTCAACCAAGCCGCCCGCCGGGTATGAGGCCGCCACAACCACCTACCACATATCCATCTTCAGAGCTGTACTGTTGTAACTGCCTTGCTCGGTCTCGCTGCCGCCGACGCCACCACGACGCCAGACAGCGTCGACCTCCTGCGCGTGTCCGTCACCACACATCTGACGCCAAGCCTCCGCTGCTCCATGCCGCCAAGAGCCGCCGCCAAGAATATGTAGAACGAAACACCGCTCCACCGAAGGGAGGCAGCACACCCCCACCCCTCACCTGCAGACCCTTCCATCCGATCCCAATGTCCTTGGCGTCGCCTCCAGGAAGGTTACGGTGCCTAGGGCGCCGCCGACGCCCGATCCGCATCGGATCTTGGACTTTCACCCGGACATGGGTTGGAGAGGAGAGATGGTGCCCTCAGCAACGCCCCCAAGGAGGAAAGCGGCGCCAAAAATCGGCGTCGCCGCTGCCGGTCAGCCTAAGGCAGCCAAGGTTTCCCCCGGACACCGATCTGCTCCACCAGAACACACCGGAGGTGGATCCGGCAGGATCCAAACCGACCCGGGGACTGGGAAGGGATGCATGGAAGGGAGAGAGGGGCAATACCTCCAGATCTGGCACGCCTACGGCTCGCCGTCCTCACGGCCGAAC